AGATCTGCTTACCTTTATGTCCCTTGGATCGGTGCCGGACTTTTGTTTCTTTTTATATTTTCTGTATACTTCTGCTGTCCGAGGACTTTGATTCGCCTCATGATACCGGGGCTGTCGGCGACTGGGACAGAGACGTGTACACCGAGGAGGCGTTTCCATTTCTGGCTCTGAATGCCTGGATGATATGATCATCCGTGGGCGTTCTGTTACAGTGTTACACAGTCATGACGGTTCCGCCGTAATTCCAAAAGTGAACCTCTTTCGACCTTCCTCACGCCGTATTGTATAACTGCAGCTCGTGCAGTGGAAGACTGCTGGCACTTTTATTTCATTCCTCTATTCGGATTTAAGTGACTCGGATTAGAGTAGCCCTTTGTGGTGACGTGGCTGGGTGGGTTTCACTGGTCCAGCGGCAGGAGATCGATTGTTTTCTTTTGTGTAGAGAGACTCGGCTCTTTTCAACCTTCATTGGCTCCGGCAACCCCATCCTCTTCTCTTTCTAGGTTCTCTATTTCTCGCTTTGATGGCTTGTGGATCAGTGTTGCGTACGAACAGATCCAGTTCGATGCTCATAGAACTCGGCGGCTGCGAAAGGTCATGCGGGTAGACCATGTTTCAGTTGCAGTGCTGGTTGCCATGTTCTGGCTGCATTGCAATTTATCCTTGATATTTTGTATTTTCTTCTGGCCCTTCTAAGAAATCGGCCTCGACCTTGGGACCCACGTTAATCTGTCGGGAGTTATTATAGCTCGCCCCAACATTTCAATCTTTTTGTGTGTTGTGCTTCGCTCGACGGGTTGCTGCGGTTGCGCAAGATCAAATGGACGTAGCGAGAGATCTTTTCCTCTTCGGACACGACAGTAATTTTCTCTGCGTTTTAAACTTCTTTTTGCTTTCATTCCGTGATCGTGAACACGTCGCTGGAATCCTTACATCTAGTGGGGCTAGCTATTTGGACGGGATGTCTTTAATAACGACTAAGGACCCGGCTGGACGTTTGATGTAGCAAGCGGGACAGATTAGATTTGGACGTGGCTGTGCAAATTGATGGGTTGCCAGCGCACACCTTTCGCACCGCGTGATGCTGGTTTACTCGCACACGCACCTTTTGGGGAAATATTTCTGTCGCTGGGCCATTGAATATCTGCCTAGTTTCAGGTGGTATCATCGCGACCTCGTCTGTGATGGGCAGCGTATAGCTACATGGTCACTGCAACTCCACTCCGTTTATTACGTATACTCAGTACTCAACATTTGAACTCTTCCTGCCTCCTCTCTCTTTGTCGATTGGCACTTCATTCGTTATCTTTGCTTCAATGCTGGCGTTTGTCCCCTTGCTGTGGAAGATTGCCAAGAAGACTTCCTTGGATTGGGAACAGCTTAATGGAAAATCTATTGAAGCATTCCACGCCTATCTATGGTGTACTTGTGGCCACCATTTTTGTTGATCATCCTCGACTTCGTAAACGCGTGCTGCTAATTGCCAGCGCAAACCTCTTGCCCTCACGGCTCTTCAACCGGTCGCTGTCGAGCATAGTTTCCTCATATTAGTCACATGCTACTTTGGAATGTATTCTAAGTCATCGATGACGGAGAGATGAATCTACTGCGGGCCGCTGGATCTACAAAGGCGGACGACGAATGATGATCATGACGAAGACACAAACCTGCCTATTTAGCTTTTTCTTTCCCTAGTTCGATGAATCAGACTCATCGCTGTTTTCATGCTCATCCAGGTCCAGTTTCCTTTTGCTCGTATGTTTTTTTGCTCGTATGGGTGGGTGTCGTAGACGGAGAACAAAGTCGACAAGGCTATTTGGCCGCAGGGTCGCCGTGCAATGGGCGCCCTCCGAGCTCTTTTCCACTTCGAAGTAGGTGTTTCTGTCATTTGTCATTCTACGCCGCGCCTCCGAGTGCCGCAGCATGTTTCATTGTTAGGAGGCAGGTGCTTGATACTTAGTAATTCGTGTGTTTACTTATTTTTATTACCCAGACAAAGGTATATTTGAGAAAGAAACCGGTTATCGACGGAAATCTAATTGCCTATCAGCGTTCATGACAATGCTGGCATAGAAATCATTTGTCTATTTATAGATTCCAGACTAGTCGAGCAAAAAATAGACGCGCTCATGTGTACGACCCCATTCTTGTCGAAGCGTAACCACGCTTCATTGACGAAAAGAAGAAAAAGTGCCTTTATACATTTGATATCGAAGCGCGAAAAATAGAGACGGCAGACCTCCGGAATACACCTAATGTGATACCATCGATGCGTGTGGTCAGGAGACGTATACTTAGACGAGAAGCAGCAGAGAGTGACCTCTGCACGTTGTAGTATAGCATTAGCCGAAATTTCTTGGCTACGGACCGCATGACTTCGCGTTTGGACACCGCTGTAACAAATATCCACCATCGACCTTGATAACGGACCATGTGTGCGGAAATACATCGAGTAAAGTATAAAATGCTCTTGTTGTTGCTAGTAAACTTCGTGAACCATACAGGTTTTGTTCGATCGACATGCGTACTGGATTCCTTCTCCTTGCAGCGTTCGTGACAGCAGTTGCAGGAAGTCCTACTTTCCGTGACCTTCTGGTACACGAACAGCGCGACGCCATTCCTGATGGCTTCGTCAAGGCTGCCGCGGCCCCGGCCGACAACGTTCTCAACCTCCGTATCGCACTCACTCAGAGTGATCCTGCCGGCCTCGAGAAGGCTTTGTTCGATGTCAGCACTCCAGGAAGCGCGTTGTATGGCCAGCATTTGACCAAGGAAGAGGTACATCACCGTTTCCATCGGCGCTAAATTTCAAATGACATTTGCTGATGTGTTCATGTTATAGGTCGAAGCGTTCGTGGCGCCCGCTCCGGAATCCGTTACCCTAGTCCAAGAATGGCTTGCGGCCAACAATATCACTGCCAAGACTATCTCACCCGCCGGCGATTGGCTGCAATTCTCCATTCCAACTGGCAAGGCCAACACTCTGCTCAACGCTGACTTCACCGTCTTCACCCACTCTCAAACGGGAAAGCAGTTCACGCGCACTCTTTCCTACTCCATCCCTGCGGCGCTGAAAGGCCACGTCGACCTTGTTCACCCCACTATCACGTTAGTTATTCATCTAATATTAGGGGAAGACAGTCAACTAATAGGCTTGATTTATAGCTTCGATAATCCTTTCGCTCATCTGCCAGTCGTTTCGACTCCTAAGGACTTGACGGCTACAAAGAGAGAGGCCGAATCGACCATCGAAAGTCGCGCCGTCCCCTCCTCATGTGGTACTGTAGTCACCCCTGCTTGTCTGCAAGCATTCTACGGCATTCCCACCACCCTCGCCACCCAAAGCTCAAACACCCTCGGAGTCTCTGGATTCATCGATCAATTCGCTAATCAGGCCGACTTGACGCTATTCCTCAAGTCCAGGCGTCCTGACCTCACCGGCGCTGCAACTACATTCGCCCTCCAAACCCTCGACGGCGGTTCCAACCCTCAGACCCCCAGCGAGGCCGGTGTTGAAGCCAACTTGGATACCCAAATGACCGTTAGCATCGCTTCGGGTGTCCCGACTACGTTCATCTCTGTGGGAAACAACTTCCAGGACGGTGCACTCGAAGGCTTCCTGGACATCATCAACTTCTTGCTCGCAGAGACCAATCCCCCGCATGTTCTCACCACTTCTTACGGCCAGAACGAGAACACCATTTCTAGCGCTCTTGCAAAGTATGTCCATGGTTATCGTTTCATTAGCCCAAGGTTGATTTATCTCCCTTTCCCATAGCCAACTTTGCAATGCATATGCGCAACTCGGTGCTCGTGGGACTTCTATCCTCTTCGCTTCTGGAGATGGTGGTGTCTCCGGCTCTCAATCCGGCCGCTGCACAACCTTCCTTCCCACCTTCCCATCTGGATGCCCTTTCATGACCTCAGTCGGTGCCACCACAGGTACCACAGAGACCGCCGCAACATTCTCGGGTGGCGGTTTCTCCAACTTCTTCGCTCAGCCTTCATACCAAGCTTCCGCGGTGTCATCCTACCTCACTGCTCTCGGAAGCACCAACTCTGGAAAATTCAACAAAACCGGACGCGGGTTCCCCGACGTTTCTGCCCAGGGGGAGAATGTTGAGATCGTCGTTGACGGAACGGCTGGGACCGTAGCAGGAACGAGCTGCTCGAGCCCCATCTTCGCGAGCGTCATCTCACTGTTGAACGATCGCCTCATTGCTGCGGGCAAGTCTCCCCTTGGATTCTTGAACCCATTCTTGTACTCCGCCGCTGGCGCTGCTGCCCTCAACGACATTACCACTGGTACGTTTCGTTTCATGCCTGGGGTGTAACACCGTAACTCATCATATATTTATTAACAGGAGACAACCCGGGATGCAACACCAATGGTTTCCCGGCCAAGGCAGGGTGGGATCCCGTCACTGGTCTCGGTACACCCAACTTCGCGAAACTCCTGACGGCAGTGGGTTTGTAAGAAGATAGATAAATTATTTAAAATACCAGTTTGGGTCACTTGTATCCTCCACCACAATCAAAAGGCTAACATGAAAAATAACATGCATTCACAATGACCAATGTATGAGAGACAAAGTTTGAATGTAGCGGGAGCGGAAGCGCAAAAACCATCTGTTATGCCTGGCAGAACGTTGGGTCATTTCCAGAGATTTGCAGAAACACACCAGGATGTGATCGGAAGCCGATGTTCAACCCCATGGTAGATATTGCATCGATAACTGAAATAAATACAACCCTAAGAATTCATCCTCGACGATGTGTTTTAATGATAAAACCAGCTTGACATGATTGCATTGTTCTGCCAAGCAGAGATGCGTTGTGTGAGTCGGGTGCTTAATCCCACACTCAATGCCGGCCGTAGATCGCATCGAATCGAATAAAATCGTAGTGGCTGCTGTATGATGAAAAATAATTTGTCAAGATGTGATATGACGCAGGAAAAATTCAACAACAAATCAGTGTTATGGCAGAGGTGACTCAGTAGCCCACCGCGAGAGTCGAACTCGCAGCCTTCAGATTGAAGAAGTTTCTCGTCCGTAAAAGTCTGACGCTCTATCCGATTGAGCTAGGCGGGCATTGACGGAACTTCGACTGAGCAATAACACAGGGATATATCACGTCGCATGAGAAAAGAAAAAGTTGTTTCTACACCAGGATAGGGGACCGTAGGGGTGAACGTACTGAGATTTTGGTACCTTGATACCTCTAGGGAATGAGGAATAGCGAGAATGACAAAATAATGCCATTCATCCGCCGTGGGTCCCGTCGACGTACGGTTACCGCAAGAGAGGAGCAAGCAAAGGCAAATCAGGTCGAGGACGGCAAGCAATTCTAGTTGGTCCTCAAGGGAAGACCTGTATTTCTTCTGATTAGGAGGCGAGCAAAGGGCGATTATGGTCATCATGACCCTTCTCACCAGAGCCCATTTGCACATACATTCATTTTATTCGTCGAGCCGCATGCGGCATATCTTCAGGCATATCTTTCAGTGAAAACTTGTCAGTGGTGCTGTGAAACTATGTGAGACCAGTGGATTTGTTGGACCGACAACGGAGCAGGAGGGACTGTCCGCAAGCCACACGATGTGTTGGCAGAACAAAGGCGCACGCCACACTTTGGGTCTTTTTTATGCGTGCGAGCCGCGGTCATGCCGCAATGACGTCACGCGTCCCTCCACCTATCCTCCAGTGCGTAGAACAAAACAGCTCCAGGAACGTCGAGTAACCGAGCAGGCAAAGCCAGCGTTCCTATTTCCTGTCTGAAATTTGATTCCGCGAATTGAAAACATGACCAAGGGTTAATAAAGAAGGAAGAAAGGAAAGGAAAAAAGCGAGTGATCGGGATCTCTGGTCCTCAAGTCAAACTCGTCGTACGAAACCCAGTCAATCCTATCCGCGTACGCAGCACATCGCCCTCAATTTAGTGAGAAGACGGCGAAAGGAGACAGAGAGAGGACGTTGCTGCCTACAAAACAGCACATTCCCTGTTCTCCTCACAGGCTGGCTAGGAAGATATCAGCAGCGTAGATGACGAACAAGCGCCGCGAGTGAAAATTTAGACATTTCGATAGCGATGAAGGCACATCATACCGATGTGACACCACGAAAAATCAAAGAGACGACTGATGGTGATGGGCGGCCAAAAATTTGGCTTTGCTTTTGTCTCTCCAGTAAGTAGTGCCATCGCAACACGATTCAGCGTGCGCCTCAGACTTTTCTATCTTGATTCTTTCAGGGCCTGATGAACACCTCGCACATTTCCATCAGTATGGTGTGGGTCCAAACTCGAACTATGAAAACTAAATGCGTGGCTGAATCGCTCTCGAGCCCTCTAGCCCTTTTGTAATCCCCATTTGTGACCCTCCTGGGGATATCGTATCATTCCGTCCACAACATCGACATTCAGCCTGCCAATGTCCTCTTCCGAGTCAGATTTGTTTATAAAATAAACGCAGTATTTAATTTTACAGAGGGAAAACGCAGAATGATAATACTGTACGAAGCCGTGAATAGGATCTGATTTCAACCCCACCACCCTCATAACCAGCCACTCTTGGCCCAGCCGCCGTTCATGATCTCCTTAGCACTTGCCCTGTCTGTGGGCTTGATCGCAAGACACGATCTCAGGAACGAAGCAGTGGTAGAGACATCTTTCTCTGGAATCTTTCCGCATTCAGTGAGTAGACTCTCGAGCTTCCCAAGCGTCTCTTTTGCCGTCGCGACCGGCGAGGAGATATATGAGTCAGAGAAAAGTGGGCTCCCTGTCAATAGAAGATATGTCTGTTGATGATGATAATAAGCCTGTAGCGAAAGCGAAAAAGTGAAACGAGACACTCACGGTGCATCCCAACATCCATACATCGGATTTGCTATCAATCTTTCCATTTCCCCTTTGGAGCACTTCCGGGGCAAGGAAGTCCTGGCGAGCGTATGAAGTCATAGCACTTCCTATCGGATGTGCTAGAATATCCATCGTTTAGTTTGTAAATTGGAAGATGTGCGGGATACATACCGTGTGCGAAATTGCTCAAGTAGATCGTTGCACAGTCAATATGGTCTTCCGGACAATCCCATGTGAAGCCGTGCGGGATGGGCTGAGATATGACTAAGTGGTATGTGACACCATCGCTGCCGACAATGTTCTCCGCTCTCTTGCTCTTGGACTGCCCCAGTACCTTCCGAATAGCATCACCGGTTTGGACAGACGAGAAGAGGAAATTATCTGCGGTAACACCTGCAAAGGAATACAAGAAATCAGTGCTGGAGTGAAATATAATAATTGATGATGCCCACCGCCGTGAATGATCTTGTACTTAGCAAGTTCGGTCAGTCTTTCCGAAATGTCGCCTACAACCTTTTGGACAGTATAGAGAGGCAAATACTCCCCGTTGTAGGTGTTGGTAAGGCGAAGATCCTCAACTGAAGATCCATATACGTGAAAGACGAGACAAAGATGCCTCTTCCCTTGGGTATCGTGTTCGTAAAAGTAGCTCCGCATTTCGGGAATGCCCATTTCTATGTTCTTCACAGGACCGAGGAGGAGGTTGCGCTCGTTGTTGCCTGTCGAGTCCTCAGTTGCCGCAACAGTCAAGATCTTGATCGCGTCGTATGAGAGTATACTTGTTCTATGGTTGAGGGCAAGCCATGTGGATGATCGCGGGCCCATCCAAGCTTGCGGGCTATCGTCCATTGGCCATCCTTGAGGGTTTGGCCGAGCTGAGCCGGGAAATAGCCTACTGTTGAGTCGAGCTGTTCTTCAGGGAAGATGGACATCATAGAAGTTGAGGAGCAAGTTCGGTCTAGCTCCATATTTTAACGTCTCGCGGCAACAATACTATTGTGATCTGAACGCCAGATAAAGGCTGTGTGCGAAGCTCAAGAGTCCGACAGAGCTGGCTAAGTCGAGGAAGGCGGTGACAGCTGGCGCTGATTTAATACCGTCAAAATTGAGAAGCCGGGCTTAGAACATCGGACCCACAAACCAAACTCGTCGCCCAGAATGCGGGAAATCACATCCACGGATGCAGCACAGCGCAATCTAATAGAGGAAAGAGAATCAGAGTGCAATCGTGGGATAGCCAAGCCGACGTGATACCTATGCTAGTGATGCTACGCTCGAGTAGAAGACTCCAAATTTCAACAATGTCCACGCCGGGCGCCCCACATTCGCATTGTACGGAGTTAGTTCGACATGCACAACAGCGACTCGCACACGACACAGATCGTGTTGCATTCCAGGATACCATGTCCAACAGCGTATACGCGGGAGGTGCAGCTCTCCAGAGATGATAGCCCACATGGGCGCGCGTACGGAAGAGGGAAAAGGTATCCGTGGAGGCGAGAGGGATTTGATAGGGGTAAAGAGGAAGGAAGGAAGGAATTAAGATATATCGACCTCATCAAGTCACCTTGCGGTGCTTTTCATGAATTAGCGTGCGATGGAGAAGCACTGGACAAGAGTCAGGAGCCACATAATGGCAATAGCAATATGTAGAAGCGCACCTTACTGCACAATGCACATCCCTAGGTGCGACATGACATATAAAAAACCAATCCTCCACTAGAACAGCAAAAGTGATCTGGAAGGTAGATTAAGAGAATAGGACGACGCACCAAATCGACCGGGACAAGGTCCATAAGCCAAGGCTACGACGATATCCGTAGGACGATCGCGACTGCCAGGTGAAACCGTGAACGTAGGTGTTGCAGGATCTCACGGGCAGGGTGACAACGAGAGGGTTTTGATCAACAGCGCGTCAATCAGCAGAGGGGACTAAGGAGACAGCCACTGCATCGCGCGACGGACCCACTTCCCTCTGAGCAACCTCGCCGACACATCACTGGCACCAGCTAGTAGGCCGTAGGTCGCTGAAAAGTCATCCGCCGTGTAGATGTCGACCTATCGCAGAGAGGATTGAGACCCATCGATAGTAGCGAAGCACCCCATACCGATGGGCGAGGATCGTAAGTTGCAGGTACGGTGATCGAGGTGGGGGATGGTCGATGATGATAGGAGAGAGGGCCTGCTTTCCGAAAAGGTTCAATTGCGATTGGTTTCGAGATATATATTTAGTTGGTACAAGACGAAAAATGAAATGGATTGAGTACAGCCTCAGAAGTAAAACGGTGTCACGTAGCAGTGAGTTTCCGCACTTAGTTCTACCGAATGGACCTCCGACGTCGCTCCCTCTCCGCCTCCCCAAGCGAATACCAATCACAATGCTAACCTGATCCCATGAGAGACGAATACATCATCATCCATCACCGTATTCCGAGATTCGGGCCAATGTGACTTCGTTTTGAATTCATATTGAGTGATACCTGCGAATCGGGTGTTCAAAGCGTGAAGTGGAATAGAAGCGTAAGTAAGCCCACCGTCCGTCTTAAGAAGCTCGCTGGCGACAGCCTCGCGTTCTCCCTCTTCCAACTTGCGTATCAATTCAGGATCCATCCAGGAAATGGCGCTCACATAATAAAGTGAGCACGGTATGGCTTTTCTCCAACCGTCCGCATAATGCGACAAAGAGCAGCGAGCGAATCGTTCTGCACTTCAGGATTCAGCGGCTTTTCCATGATGCGAGAGCCCAGGCTACGCAGGTGGCATTATCGATCAAGTAGCCGCCCACGATGGATAATCGAGGTGGATTCTTCGGAGATGGACCCCTCGGGTACGATGTTTGAGGTTGTGTGTTAGACGGCGAGTTAGAGGTCGAAGCATGTTGAAAACGGTTGTGTTGGAAGGTTAGTTCGTATGTGTTCTAATTAGTACAACCCAAAAAATTTGTCCATGTTTTGCGTCTGCTGGCCCGAGTAAACCCGCCCAGCCATGTCAACGACACGGGGCTGGACTAATCCGAGCCCAAGCACGAAATTTGAAACCGGTAAATCTGAACAAAAGGAAAGCAAATATTACAAATCTTCCACTGCACGAGCTGTAAGTCTACAATATGAGGAGGGTCTAGGCGGAGTTCATCTTTAGAACCACAGCAGGAAAAACGAGGTTAACACTCGAGGCTCACAGAATTGCGGTGCATCATAGAACACCGGCAACTCTTTCCATGGTACGACATGATACA